TTTCAATCTAATTGAAATATTATTTAAATGATGATGGCAACTACATACCAATGAAAAAACTGACAGCCATTTGCAGATTTAAGCACAACAGAAAATTCAAACCTGGTCATCTTCAGGCTCAAATCATCCTCGACAAAATCAATCAGGGAGTAGTTTTGCTCTTCAATAACTACTTACAAAGAGAACAGTACGGACGCTCTATACTGTTTTGACAGATAGTCCTTTGGATAGTTCAGACAAGAAGAGTTACCAATGAGAGTGTCATGTCATAGTGACCCTCCAAGCAAACAGTCTCATTGACTTCATCATTTATTTCCCCTTGAAATTAACATTTTGATTCCCGGGTAAAAGAATCTGAAGATGGACCTCTCTACTCAATTTTCTAAAAATCTATATATTCCAAAAGCATTGTCAGCTAAGTTTCTAGTTTAGCTCTCGGAAATGGCAAATCAAAGCATGAATTGACAACACTAGACTTCGCTGTTCTTAAAAAATTTCAGCAATTTTCAATGAGAAGCTCCTCATAAGTACGGAGATGAGGCATATGTTCTTTGCTATTCTACTCGGCATGTGTTCTTTTGATATTCTACTCTAGAACCTACAGCCATCACTTTATCAATCATCTGCTGTCTAAATTTGTAAAGGTACTAGAAAATGAGAAAATTTGCCTGCTCCAGAAGTTTTGGCGCTTCAGCCTCTTCAGGTTATTCGAGGAGCATTTTAACAGATTAAGTTTCAAGATAAATTTTTAGAAGACAAATTAATAATAAATTAATAAAATTCTCTGATAAAATTAATAATAAATTAGAAGACAAATTAGTTAGAGATAAGACACTAATTTTAATTAAATATATGATCCATTATCATAATTCTCTGATAAAATTAATAATAAATTAATAATATAATTATTCTTTCTCAATACTAATTATACATAAATTATTGTTTATTAAAATATAAAATCTAGTAATAAAAAATAATAATTAATTACTTTATATGAAAATCATAATCATAAATTTCATTTTTATTGAAATATTTTAAAAAGTTTAACAATGTGCACTTTGTGCACGTACAATAGAATTAGTATATATAAGTACACGTACATGTCTTGCTTGATGCAGTGGGAAAATTTCATATTTAAAGTTAACATATAAATACGAAGACCCATATACCCTTCATTATGTTCAATGCAAAAGAAAACACAAATGGTTTTTAAACCATGCATACACGCCTTTATTTGACATGATGGGTAGTCTCCGACTCTCTAAAATCCTCTCCACGTGGGAAAGATGAGAGGCTACTGAAATCTCCAATAGATTGAATTTGCACAAAACTTTAAAAGAACAAAACGAACAAATACTCTGAACTATACATGCAGTATAAAAATGATAAAATGAACAAAATGAAGGGTATAAATTGTAAAATAAGAATAAAAAAAATGAAACTTTTTCAAAATTAAAAAAATGGTAATAGGAATATCAGGGCTAGTTGGAATAAAAGCTAACCTCTTGAACTTCATTTTTAAGTATGGTGACTGAAAGATCATTAAATTTTGCTGATTGTTGAAACTCTTTCGGATTAGTCAAGAAAGATTTATCTGAATCCAATTTCTTTGGATTGGGAGAATTGCAAACTAGGTGCAGTAAGTCATCCATTTTTCTCTGCAAATAGATTGGTTTTGGTTCTACAAGATTATTTAGATTAATCATATTCCTAGACTCATCTTGGCACCCTTCAACCTCCCTTGTAGGTCTCCTATTTTCCTCTCCACATGATCTAAGGAATTGTGGCTTGTTATCATCATACTTGAGGTTTCTTAGCAGAGAATGTCCCCTTTCAATGATCGAATTATGCAAATCATTCCGCTCTAGATTAAGCACATCTTTAAGCATACAACAATCCTCAATAGCGTTGATGCAGTCAACTTGCCATCTGTTTTCAGTTTTTGATGACCCATAAATAGCTGATGAATCTGGATGATCTTCAAATCTAGGAAGCCATTCATCACACTCATCTTTCCAACCATCATTACTGCTAATACCAGAACGATAAGAACACGAACTATGTATATCTTTTTTATCAAGCTTTTTATGTGAATTTTTCTTTAAAATAAGCTGACCTAGAGTTCTTGGTGTTTCCTTACCAGAAAAGAAAAGCATCTCACCCAACGTGCTTGATCCTTCACCAAATAGCCTCTGCCTAGATGGCCTGGTTGTTTTCCATTGCTCTGAAAGGCTTTTCACGGCCTCCCTACTTCGAGATGGTACACTCAAATAAGTAGATGAAGAGTTAAATTTATCAGTCTTTGCGAGCTCCTCGTCAGAATAGCTTCTTAAAGACTGTTTTACTTCATTTGAAATATCACTAGCAACATCATTAGCTGCCTTCGTGTTGCATCCTTTAGTTTTGACATCAAAAAATTGATGCTGCTGTCCTCTTTCAACAAGAAGCTCTCGATGAAAGTCCTTGTGTCTACTAGAACTTAGTTTATAATTTTGAAGATATCCTGGAAATGACTCGGTTATTCCTGTGCTCGGTGCCTTTTGATCACTTGGCTTCAGGACGACAATAGAAGTTAGAATTGGATGTGGTGAGTTCTCAGTTTTCCCTGTGTATCGCGATCTTATCAACATGGGCAAATGAGAATCCACATGATCAAACGTAGAGTGGCTGTAGAGGCTGGTGCATGGTTTTTTGCAACAATGTGTGGTATCTTTCTTCTTTCGTGTACTTTCCCTGGTTTCTTCTACTAATCTATAAAATGTTTCACTCTTGCCAGCTGAAGATTCTAAAATCTTAAAATGGTTGGTATTAGCGGAGGATTTTGAATGCTTTAGGTTGTGGAAATGTTTAGCAAATAAAGAATTGGGATCTTGGAAAATTTTCAAGAAAATATCCTTGTTTGCAAACATGATATCTAGTGCATCACTTAATTCTTTGGATCTTTTATGTGCTTCCTTCGTGGATAAAGATTTTGCTTCAATGAATTGCCGCTTTATAAAAGCAATGTCAGGCTTTGAATTCCGCTTCTCCTTCTGAGCCACCTGGTCAATATGCGAATTTGAGGAATCAAAATGGTCATGAACAATCTTAAAATTTTGGTGCTGCCTTCTGCTCACATGAAAGGATTGACTCCCAGAATATTCATACTTGTCTCCAAGCCTTGCAAATGATTTCTTGAGCAAGAAATGCCCGTTTTCATTTTTTAATTCAGGCACTACCTGTGGAGGAGGAAGCTCATCGAGACCCATCAGTCTAGCAATAACACTAGGAGAGGACCGCCTCTTTTCTACAATTCTGGATACGACTTCATCTGTTATTTTATTCACTGCTGTCCCGCCAACTTTCTTGCATAATCTTCCATGCAACCCGTGGGAAAACTGAAAATAAGCAAGAAGAAATAAGTATCTAATCCACAACCATTTATATAAATGCAAAATGTCAAAAAATGCAAATGTAGTACATCATTCTGCTCCAAGGCAAGGATAATAGAGAAAACCATGATAACAAAATTCATGTCAAATTACTTATAAATATAATAATAGATTGATTTAATGGAGGACATTAAGAGCATTTCTATCCGGAAGAAACCTGGTCAAATGTCATATTTTCTTAGAAAAGAAACAAATGGAAGTGGCATATATGACATCAGGACTTTCAAAGCAGATATTACATATAAATAATATTGCGTCATCATAATCAGAATATGAACTTACTAAATCTTCTTCTGTGGTTGAGTCCTCGCTTGAAGTTGAACGCAAATCCACCTTAGGATATTTTGTCTGTTTCCTGGGAAGATAATATGCTGAAAGAGAACCAAATAAGTCTAAGTAACGAGAACAAAAGTAAATGGAATCAAATAAGTTTCAGTGATGAGATCAAAAAAAATCATAAATGCATAAATCATTATCATCATTAAATTTATCCCAAATATTTTGGTTAACTTTATAATCATCATTCTCCATTCATTCTTGTTAATTATTAACATTTGCATGAGTTTCATTTGTGCAAATCATTTTGCACAACTTCAATACTTGTATTTTTTGGCCTATCCATTTTACTTCCTAACCGTTCAACATTAGTTTTATCCATCATTTCAAAAAGCAATTTTGGGACTAGCTTTGAGCAGTCCTTGCAAAGACGGAACAAAATTTCCTTAAAACAATGAGGAGAGACATACGCCCCATGGACTAGGGTGCCTCCCAGAGTGCATGGCCGTTTGTTGTGTACCCAGTTGGTGACAAGTGGGCCTAATGAAATTTTAATTTAAAATGAATCAAATGATCAAATAATAGAATTTAGTCTTTTATAAATAACTTTGCTATTATTTAACTTAACTTGAATGAAAAGATTATTTGCATCAACTTTAACTCAAACTAATTAATTCAAGTGTAACTAAAGAATCGTAAAAAAAATTGTTGTGTATTATTATCCATTCTTTTATTTATTTATGTTTAAAGTATAGGCATCACAATCAAAGCAAACAAGTTGTAAACGTATTATAAACTTAGAATAATGGCTTAAATCATAAGTATCAGTTCACGAAATTGAATTTGCAACACCTCAACCTGCACTTACATGTGATATAAATGGGATAAGGCGTAAAGGATAAGAAATTTGAGGAACAGGACTTCATAGTGCATGGTTGTTTGCCTCGTTTCATTTAGAAGTCTATATTTTTACCCAAAAAAATTATAATTTAATAAAGTGCAATTATAGGTTCAGAAACTATTGTATTGCTATATGTTATCCTATCTTTTATTTTTAAAAATGTGCAGGCATCAAAATTAAAGACAAACAAGTTGCGAAATTATTAGAAAATAAGAATAATGACTTAAATGAGGTGGAGTTAGTAATTGAAATTGAATTTGCAACACCTCAATCCGCACCTACATGTGGTTTTAATGGGTCAAGACTTGAATGATAGGACTTTGAAAAATGATTACTTTAGGAAGGCGTGATTACTTGTATTATTTCATTTTGATGTTTAATTTGATTTGACTTTATATGTTTACGTCAATTAAACTTTGTAGTTTGAAAATATGGACTTCATAATTCATTTTAGTTTTTTCCTTATATTTGATATCTTTAATCTTTTTTTAATGGGGTTAGAATTTAGGTTTTCTAACATTTGTTCTTTTTCTTTTTCCCCCTTATAGTTATAATTATTCTTTTTCTTCATTATGATTCGTTTATTTGACTTCTCTTCCAAGGAGTGGACTATCACGAATGATGAAAATAAAACTAAAGAAAAACTCCAAAGGCCTCTTATCATCTAAATGGGAGAAATTATATGAAATTATTCCAAATCATGAAGACCTCTCTGAAAGGAAAGAGCAAGATATATCATCTTATGGATCTTCCTCAGAAGCTAAAAGACGCAAAATTTATACTTTGGAAAGAAGTTAATATCATGATAGTAGTACTTGAATGACATCGATAGTAGTACTTCCAAAGACTTTTTATTATTTTTTTGCTCGGACGTCTGGGGACCTTCCAAAACCCCCAGTATTTTCAAAGCTACAGGATGTATGCCCTTCATTTATAGTAGTACTTGAATGACATCGATATATCTGATCAAACAAAAATATGATATCAGTGACTCATCTTTATTCTTCCCCATTATTATTATAATACAAAAACAATTCCATACTAATATCAAGATATTTCAAACTGATAATGCTAATGATTATTTTAATCATATATTATTAATCAATCCTCTTGAACACTTAACCAATAAAATAGACTAGTACCAAGGAAAAATCATCATCTCATGAAATCACAAATTCACAATCAAATTTCTCTTCTAAAATCAAATGCCCAAAAAATACTCATAAGAAGTAATCCTAACTGTCACATATATAATCAATAGAATACCCCAATAGTGATTTTCTTTAAAAGTCATATAAATTATATGGCTAAATTCTTTCTCACAAGTAACTTCCTTTTAAAAATCCCTTCAAAAAAACTTTAAGTGCATTTTCCATGTCTATATTCACAAATAATACAAGATGAACTTGATGCTAAAGGTCTCAATGTGTCTACTAAATATTGCTTCACTCAAATAAGTATAACTGTTATCATCATATCACAAAAAAATTCTTTACTACAAAGGATATCACCTTTAATCAGAAGCAATAATTTTTATAATCAAACTGATTTTCAGTTGAACTCTCAACTAGACAATAAGTTTGAAGAAACACCTACATTTCATCTTGGCATTCTTACATAAACTCTAACAAATTCAGATAATGTATCCCTTCAAGTCTATATAAGAAATAAGTTCAACCAACCACTCTAGTAAGCTAAAGGCATGAAATCGTTATCAGGTAACAATGATTAAACTATCACCACACATTCTCCTCTATATCCCATCTTCTAGTACATATCTTTTCAAAAAATTTCTCTTACCTATAAAGCATTTCTTATAAATAGCAACATTAATTTCATTATAATACCACAAACTCTATTTTAATCATTTAAAAATAATAAGTTGAAGAAATGTCATGAGAAAAGAAAAATGATATATAAAAATTTACAATTGGGTGATCGTTAAATTATCAAAAAGGAAGAAAATAGTAGAATATAAATGAATTTTTTCTTTAAAATATTGAGCAAATGGAAGCCTAGAGTAGTATAAAATGAGCTAAGTAGCCAAAAGATATACTCAATCCTATGAAATTGATTACAGATAAACTTTTGCTCCTATTGTGAAATGAAAATAATACATATTAATTTCTCTTGTAGCCAATCGTGAATAGTCCATGCAATTGTATGATATAAATAATGCTTTCATATATGAGTATATTGAAAAAAAGGTCTATACGAATCTACCACCTAGATTTGATAGTTAATTAAAAAAATGGACAAATTAAAAAAAAAAAAGGCTCTATATGACCTTAAACAATACCCAAAGCATAATTTGGCAGATTCACAAAAGTCATGAATGATGCTTGATATAAATAAAGTCAAGTAGATCATACCCCTTCATAAGATACTACACTAATGATAAAATTTCAATTCTCATAAGATATATTGACGATATAACTTTCATATGTGATTACAATAGGAAAAAAAAAAGTCTCTAACGAAAAACATATACTAAAGAAATTAAGATCAAAAAATTGCACAAACTTTAATGCTTCTTGGGAATAGAAGTTTCTCAACTAAAGAAAAATATTCCGCTCTCAATAGAAACATATCATGAATCTACTAAAATAAATAAAAACAATTGATTGTAAATCTTATAAAACACCAATTGAACCAAACCAAAAATTGGATGCATATGAAGAATGAAAAGAAGAATATATGAGAAAGCAATAAAGATTAGTTGAAAAAATAATCTATCTATATCACACCCATCCAAACATCGCATTTGCATTGAGTCTCATTAGTCAATTCATGCACAAATTCAAAAAATCTCCCCTTCAAGCTTGCTTTTAAATCCTCAAAATACCATAACTCAAGTCATGATAAAATAACCATCCATAAAAGCAAGATACCTTACAAATTGAAGAATATATTAATGCAGAGTATGCAAGATCATCATTGGGTAAAAGATTCACAACTGGGTCCAATATATTTTTTGAAGGAAATCTCAGCAAATGGAGGAGGATGAAATAATTTATACTTCAAGATCTAGTATTGAATTTGAATTTAAAGCCATTAACCAAGAAATCTGTGAGTTTCTGTAGATCAAAATTATTTTAATAGATTTAAAATCATTCATGATAGACCAATAAAATTATACTATGATAATAAATTTGCTATTAAAATTATACATAATTTAGTACAATAGGATTGCACCAAGAATTTGAAGATGAATAAACATTTTATAGAATAAAGTTAAAATTTAAAATTTAAAAAAAAAACATTTTATAGAAAAGAAACTAGAAAATAAGTTGATATGCACTTCATATGTGCCAACCAGGAAAAACTTGCAATCATTCTCACCAAAAAACAGTACAACGCACATTAAAAAATATAATAAACAAACTTTGAATGATAAATTTATATCATTCAATTGGAGGGAGAGTGTTGAAAGATCTTGGGACCTAAAAATCAACAAATCATGGTAGAAATCTTTGAGCACATGGTTAAAAGGTTCTAACCATCAAATTGATCCCCTTATAGCCCTTAGACAACAATTTGTATGACTCCACTTCCTATTCTAACCATCTACCCCTTTTGGGGACTTTTTCTTTTTTATTCATAAATAAATTTGATTTATTTCCATTATAATAGTTTTTTCTATTTTGTTACTTTTATATGTCTCCTTTGAAACCATTCAAATCTCCACCTTACTAAGGTTTCTTTTGTTATATATTATATTATTATATAAGCCCAAGTAAGGTTAAGCAACATTATAATGTAAATTTGATTCTATTGAAACATTTTTGTTGTGCAACATTACAAAATAGGGGCATATACAAACCTACCACTCAATTCTTATATTGATTTACATATCTAGTACCAAAAAATTTATATTTACTTATATAACTATCATCCTCGCATCAATTTATACAAAGTAAAATACACCTTTTCATGTGTATGTTTGATATTATTTAAAAATTGCAGTATTATATAAGTAAATATAAGGATTTAGAAGATAGATATGCAAATACATAAGATTTGATGTTATATATGAGAACTTGTACATAATACTACAAAGATCTTTCCAACAAACTTGTATTATTCTAGTCATCTCCAATATCTTACAAAAAATACATTATTTATCTCACAATTACAAAACACCAAAATTGTTCCATTCCAAAATTGTTCCATTATGCCTTCTTGTTGCCTTGCACTTGGCTCAATACATAAATACTACAGTAGCACAAGTTCATCAAGTTTTCCCTTGATCCGAAAAGGTATACAACTTTTCTCTGAGGATTCCATCAACCAATAGTTAATAAATCTTATGTAGAACCTCACAAAAATACAAATAATTTGCACTTTACTAATTGTTAAAGTATTTAAACTGCTAATTAATTGGGGAAAAACATAAATAATGCATATAAAAAATATAAAATTAAATGGCGGTGTAAAATAATAGCATGTTTATGTTGGACATTCCACTCCCATATGAGAATAGGGCAATAGAAATAGCAACCAAAGGTATGAGAGATGTTTGAGATAGATAACATGCTTTGTCCACTTAACAGTCCATTGTCTGTATAACTTTTAGTGAGCCAAAGAATGATTATTCAGACTGTTGAGAATACAAACAGAGTTAATATTTACATATCTAACACTTAAGTACCACACAATTCTTGTGTATTTACATACCTAACATATAAAATATGGTAATCACTTATATAAACACTTTAGGTCTCAATTACATCAAAACATAAGCATAAAAGATGCACTTCACTATAGAATAGTTAATATTAGCAGTTTTTTTATGTAACTTAAAGATTTGGGTGTTATATAAGTAAATATCAAATTTTAGGCATTTGGCATGTAAATACATAAGAATTTTGTGATATATATGTACATCCCATAAATTTTTAAATAGAAATAAAAATTTGATTATCATAATAAAATCATCAGAACATGCTTTTGTATGAAAATTTTGCAAGTAACATCTTCAAAGATTATTATAATGACGGGGACTTGCAAATTGATGTTCATTTGTTAAAGAAACACTAGCCGATCAAGAAATTATACATGCGATGTTTGCCACAAAATCAAACAACAGTAGAAAGAGTTGATTAACATAATAAGGTCAATGTGAGCGTGAGAATGTAAGCATATGCGCACACTCGTGATAAAGCAATAATCACATAAGCACTTTACTTCCCAAGATAAAAGATATATTAAACTACAAAATACCTATCTCAACTAGATCAGTCAGAGAAACTAGTTAGTTTGGAATCCATGATGAAAATGGTTCCTTGAGTTCTGCTTGAAGTTGAAGAACAGTTTTGTAACTTCTGAAATTGGAAACAGTGTTCATCTTGCCATACATGGATAATTTTTTGCACTGCTGGGTGGACAGAAAAGTTTGCAGCTCAAAGACATGTATGCGAGCATTTGTTTAACAGAATAGCAGAAATAATTAATCCAGTACAATAAGCGGATGCATCTTCAAGTGGAATAACAACAATATAAAGACAATGTGTCATCTTAAGAAAGCATCAACTGGTGGTTTGATTTCATTAGAACCCACAAATATCACAAACCATCTCAGAATTTGCTACGAAAGAAAGGCGGCGATGAGTCCTTTACTGTTTGTTACTGTCCAGATCAACTTCACTCTTCAAAAAAATAAAAAACGTACAGTGGTGTGAGTGCCAGAAAGAGGTTTCAAGGGTTTTTTTCTTTTTTTTTTTTTTCTTACTTGGGCAGGTGGATAGAAAGGAAATAAGTAGTACAAAATAAGTGTTCAGGTTCCAACAATGAAACTATTAGAATTGCTTTATTAATTCAAGAATACTCCAGCAAAAAAATCCAGAAACAAGTGAAATTATCAGCAAACACATCATCCAAACAACCTTATCAGCAAATACGAGAAGAAGATGGATCAAATAAGAACAATACACGAAATTCTAAACTGCCAGCACCTATAGGGGACTAACTAGATGCGCGTCATAAAAATAAATAAAGAATAAAATTCCCACACGAATATTTCAATAGCCCTAGATTTAGATATCCCATCCAAACATATATCGCATTCGAACCACACAAAGAATAGCAAAAACCCTAATAAAAAACTTACGGAATGACAAGACCAGAAAAAGGCTGAGAAGGCGCAAACTGACCCTCTGTCGAAAAATCCAAAGCCGAGGCAGCCGCCTGTCTTCGAACCCTAACACCTGCGTGGTAAGATGCCATCTCCCCGCTCTTCGTCCGCACGCTTCGCGAAAACCGCCGGTCCATCTCTCTCCAGCAAATCCGATATACCGGTGGCGCTGTATGGTATCTCAAAGTGATTCACTCTCCGCAAAGCAGAACTCCGGCGAAAGGAAGGAGGAGGATGACGGAAACCAACCGAGGGGCCGAAAGATGGAGAGGTGGGTTAACGCGCCGATAGCGAAGGGATGCGGAACGAAGAAGGAAACGCCGCGAGGTAAATGCAGAGGGTTCAAACTTTCAAAACGCCCCCACCTGAAAACTTGGCTCGCACGACTCTTATATATCGCACGTGAGACGCCACCGAGGCTCGGGGGAGGGGCTTGAAAAGTTTTTCGCGCGTGCCATACTTAATAATACATAGGGATTAGGACATAAAACAATAGCTGTTGTCATTAATTATTTTATTAGTAAACTAAGCCCGATTGTATTAGTTATGGTTCCTCAGGAATTTACTACTGCCTGCTCCAATATACGTGGAGACATCAAAACGTCAGACTTCCCAAACAATACAAATAGAATTTAGAAGCTTTAGTGCAAGAATTTCAGTTTATCATTAATAAAAGCTTTTATTTGGAAAAAATTTGGAGTTAGTATATCCTTACTAAAATTTTGTTAGAATAAACTTTAAAGTTATTTGATCTACTTTAGCTGAGTATGATATAGGCTTCATAGCTGAGTATGACATATGACAGTCATGTATGAGCAATTTCAATACATTAGTTCAAAGTTATAATATTACGCTCTTCTCTATTATCAAGAAGATGAGAGTAATAAGCAATGTTATGGACATTGGCCTATGATGATGGGTGATGATAGATAAGAAATCTTGTTAAGTTCTAATTAATTTTAAGCCTTTTTCGTGCGTTCTTTATTTTTTTTTTTAAGTTCGTTCAAACTATTTTTGATGAACATTAATTATCTAATCAATTTTAATTTGAAAATTAACACATTGAAATGAGGCTAGTGTATAAGGAATCATGTTACACATTTGTGATAAGTAGAATGCACTTGAACAGAGGCTTCAAGGAAGACTCCTCACAATAGTTCATAAATAATTTCTAGTATTTACGAGGCTTTGAAGGGTAATCTCTAAAAATATTCCCTAAAGAATTATACTGCATTAATTCTAACAAATCCCACAAAGGTGTGAGTAATCTTTAATTATTATTATATTTATGATAAATTATTTATTAAATATTCTAATAAATCCATTGAATGTCTAGATAGTCTTAAGAAAAAGAGAGTGCAACGAGGAATGGGCTTGAGTACTCTAAAGGGTGGCAAAAAAATATTTGACAATGGAGCGCATCGGAGGCATGTTGGATATGGATAAGAGTCTTATAGTTATTACCATGCTTATAAGGGTCATACGACGTATTATAGAATATTTATAATCATATCACAACCATTGTTGTTCGTATAAAATCATTAGATTACCAATCATTCAATTGTCATAACTTATCCATCATCTTTTGAGTACCATCATCAACCTATCATAATTCGTTTGCCATCATGCCCTTCACCACTTCTCCATCATTCTTAAATATAAGCATATGTAATCGAGTTTGTGTTGTCTTATAAATTTTATAATCTTGTCTTTCTCAATAGAGAAAAAGATCATATATTTATAATCCCTATCAACTTTGTTGGTCATTTTGTATGAGTAAAGCTCAATTTGTAATATTTTATTGTTTTTTTATCTAACTTTATTAAGGCATGCTCCTATTTTTCAATTTATAAAAACAGTAAGTCCAGCATAAGAATTTAAGATTAAGACAGTCCCTGCATTTTAGAAAAACAATCATTCATGATATGACATCAAAATTGATATGGCATGAATATCGAGACAAAATCAAGTTGGAAACTTCAAAAATTAAATCCGAGACAATCTGAACTCTGATTTTAGCAAACTTATAGTTGAACTGAACGTCTAAAAAATATGAACTCAAAGACACCAAATTCGACTTAATCCGAGCCCAAATGGGTCCAAATCAAGGACCCAAAGTGTTGTTGGAAGGTTCAAACCACAATTTGGATTACCAAACAGTTTCCAAAGCTGACATGCTTATAGTCGAATCGAGCGGCGCGACGAGACAAATCCAACGAGCAGCCCAAGATCACTAAATTTTGATATCACTAAACATTCAAATGCCTAATAAATAGCTCACAATCAAGGGATTTAACATTGGTCGTCCATCCAAACCAGTAAACCACTCCAAATTTGTCCTTGATCTTCCTCTTATTTACTCGTCATGTCACTCTCAAAAATTTATAAATAGAGTCATCCCTTCTCAAGAGGGGGGGACTCCAAGCAAGAGAGCAAGAGAGAGATTGAAAATCGCCCTTGCCTCCTCGCTCCTCCTCGACCACCACCCGGAGTTCCGTCTGACCACCACTTTACGTCGGACCTCTGCCAGACCACCACCTGATGCTGGAACTCTGCCGAACTTATACCCAGCCACCTACGGTCCTTCCTAGCTACCTCAATGGTCGGATTATGGCTTTTCCAACCTCCGTTGCTAGAAAACGATCCTTCTGATCTTCGCCGTCAGATAACGATCCTTCCGACCTTCGTTGCCTGCCAGCTATGGTCCTTCTGACCTACATCGTCAACTATGGTTCTTCTTACCTCCATTGCTAGACAATGGTCTTCACGACCTATATCACCATACTACGGTCTTTCCAACCTCTAACGTCAGTCGACTACGAACCTTCCGACCTTCGTCGTCAGATAATGGTCATTCCGACCTCTGTCGCCCACAGACTACAATCCTGTCGACCATCGTCACCCAATCACAATCTTTCCAACCTTCGTCGCCTACCAACTATAGTTTTGACAATCAAACAAACATGTCTATGTTGATTATTGTAATTCCCACCATGTAATGCACTTTATGTATATCAAGCCAAGACCCTCTCCCAAGGAAGGGCCTCATTTGTAATCAACTGCAAATACTAGTGGATTTCTTCAAACTGGCAAGGCCCCGTGGTTTTTCTCCCCTTTTTAGGAGTTTGCACGTAAAACTCTGGTGTCTCTTATCAATATTGCACCCACTCTTTTATCTGTATGTGCGCTGGATCTTCGTATAATGCTAATACGTTAAGCTTTATATTTCTCTACCGCCACAAATACTTCAGGACGCAACAATTTAGTAAGCCAATTTTTTGTTGTTGTGCTTTTGACTACATTCTAATCATTTTATTAAGCGCATTAATTTAATTAAAAATAAAATAAAAAACAACTATAATTGTAGAAGTAAGTAAATTTAATTATAATTTCACATATGCATGAATATAACTTTGTATCGACCTGACTCAACATTTTACTATGTTGTTAGACATGTTTTTTGGGTCTCTTTGAAGTGAAAATGTTATTCTGTGAAAAGATCGGATGCAAAACGCAGTCTAGAGACCAATCAAAATGTGCCTCGTCAACGATATCGAGTCGCGGTACTGAGCAAAGGGGTGACATAGCGCATTCTGGTTGATCTCCGGACAACGTTCATCGCCCCCGCACAGAATAATTTCTCATTTGAAGTAGATTATATTGACTATTTCATGACAGAAATGTCTACTATTGCGTTGGTTAAGGGTTCATTTGGAGCAATTTTCTGGTTGCTTTGCTTTCAGACAGTAATCATAATTTCATTTGGTTGCTGCTTTCTCATTATTATTTTTTATTTCTATAATGAAAGTTATTTTCTTCAATCATAATAGCGAAGTTGTTTTATCCACAATAACTTCAAAATCAACCTTATAAAATAATACATCTGTCCCAACAAACCCTAAATATAAACTGATTTAAATAATTAGTTTTGGATGTCAAAATTGCTTCATTGGAATTATATCGGACTTAATTCTTCAAATACTATCATTCCAAGCTAATGTTCTTAGCATTATTAATGATATGTAGAAAAAGTATTCATTTAATCAACATATTTTAAAATAAAGGTTTTGTGCGTTCTTATAGCAAAATACAAAATAAATAAGGGGAGAAAAAAAAAAGAATTAGTGCATTTGATGGTGCTCGTTAACCCAAAGCTATGTGCTCGATATATTACGTGGTTAATTAGCTTACAGCTAGATCGGTGACGATTACGTGCTCAAGTATTGAGTACAATAGAGAGTCTACAAATTAGAAGGTCTTAGATTTGGAGCTTGAGTATGTGATGTATGTGCTAATTTGCCTTAGCTCAAAAGCCCAAAATAATTGAAGATAGTAGAGCCCACAAGTGCTAAGTCGAATTGCGAAAAAGCATGAGAATTGCTTGTGGAGTGTTATTCCGTTCTCATCAATGGTTGACTTTCTTTTTTATATGCATTTTAAGATAAATATAATATATAAATAATTAATTTTACACGCAATTTTAATATTTATTTTTATATTTTCATAAGTATTTGTTTTTAAGAAAATGTTTTCCATGTCAGCATAAGATGTCTATTTAACATACAACTTGCTTGCCACATCAATATCAAGCCTTCACAATAAAACAAGGTACCAAATATATTTCAGCATCTTATAAAAAACTAACATAATTCTTACAAAAATTAAATCAACATGAGAAAGTGGCCATAAAGTATAATGATGATATTACAAGATATTGATAATCCATTGAGCGAATATAGAGTGCACATATTTCTTTATTGATTAGACAAAAGTTTTGATCAACTTTAAAAATAAATTTTACATTGTGAGCCACTCCTAAGTTTAGAAGAGTGTTATCATATGATCCACCAATTTAAATGATAATATTAAGAAACGAGAAGCTTATGATATAATTTCATGCCATCAATCTAGTTAGACTTAAATGTAGACAAAAGCCATGGATCAAACATGTGAACTCATTGATCATCTCACAAGAATATAATCAATTGGATACCGAAAAGCTTTATGTGTGAATGATGAAAAGGTCTCCTTATAGAAGACTCAAATATGGGAGTTGATCATCCCGCAAAAATAAAATTATTTGGGTGTGGATGAATATGTACTATGAAATAGATAACTGATGGCTCGATCAAATATTTTAAGGTGAAATTCATGGCAAAATGATGCACCCAAATTTATAGAATTGACTACAATGAAATGTTTGTGCTTATAGCAAAGATCAATATAGTTCGTGTTTTATTATTCTCAAGTCACAAATCTTGATTAGCTACTGGAACTATGTGATGCGAAAACTTTCATTCATACATGATGAACTATCTGAAGATATCTACATGAATCTCTCATCAGGATACACTATAATAAA